TTTAAGTACTAAAACAGACCAAAACTGATAGTTTAGATATTAAATGTGTAATTTATCCTAATATTTTTTATTATATTCCGATCATTATATTTTGGATATTAAAAATAGCATTATCACCATCCGATTGTAACATATAATTAGATATTGGAAATATAAATCAACTTAAGTTTTAATAGTTGAAAAAAAAATCAACTACTATAATATTGCCCCAGTGAAGACCGTTGACCTCCACAGCCTTATCTAATTTACAAGTATAGATTTAATTTAAAAATTATTATTTGATATAAGAAATTATTTCAAATACCACTTAACTTTATCTGGTAATTTATTTATACTATTAAACTTTCAGTTTTATCAATTATAGCATTAAATTTTTGTTTTACATTCAGTCGTATCACTATGTTGTTAAGCTAGTAATAAGACGATGACATGACTAATAGTGACCAATGTTGCATGCCACACGAAAACGACGTCATTTTGATGTGGCTATTTTGATAACTAAAACGAAGTCATTCTAGATATTGAATTTTAGGAGTGTATCAAATTTACTATTAAACTTTTGAACAATTTTCTTTTTTTAGCAATACACTTTTCGGTCTCCACCTACAACAAACACGGCCTGTTATCGATCATATCTCATGGTTAAATCAGTACCAAATTATTAGTATTTCACTCTTCTTTCTTTCTCTTAGGATTGATTTATAACAAAACTCAATCAAAATCGATGAAAGTTTATTTAAAAGTTCGACATATTAAAAGTTCGTCTTCTCGAAATAATATTTTTCACTGTTCATATTTTTGAACAAACACCCAAAATCTCATAAATCTAGGCAATCTTAATAATTAAAAAATTAATGTTATTCTTTAAGATATCAAATTCAAGTACCATGTACATAAAAATATAAACATTTAATATCAAATAATTGATTCAATTAACACCCAAAAAAATCCAATTAACAATTTAAACCATAAAATTAATCGGTTCAAAATCCATCAACCCAAACCATTAACAATATATATATATATATATATATATATATATATATATATATTTAAAGGTAATTATTTTTTAATAAATAAATATAACGGGTAAATGGCACAGAAGATGGCAGTACAATCAGAAGTGGATCAGCTATGCCTATACATCCTATTGAATTCGACCGTTTGAAGCAACAGATAATTTGGCACTGTCCAAACTCACGTGATACCATTCTGCTACTCGCCATAATTTCATAAAATATAAATTAGTCCCCAATTTATAGGATATTTCTTTAGTCCCCCAATTATGAAACATAACAAAATGGTCACACGACTTAAAAGAATTAACAAATTGTGCCTTTTCTGTTAAAGATTTAAGAGTAAACTACTTATTTTGTCACTCACCTATTACTTAATATTTGTTTTAGTCATCTAACTATTATCTTTTTCAGACGTTTTTATTTTATTTCAATCATCTATATTTAAAAATTAACTGTAACATTGACGTGATATTTTTTTATTGTTTTTAATGATGACATAAAATTAGAAAAATTATAATGGGAAGAAGAAGGGTGTGAAAAGCGCGGAGGCTACCCCTTTTATAAGCTCTAAAAGTCAAGGCTCCATCCAATAGGAAAATTCTTATTTTCTGCATTTTCCATTCTTGATATTATCCAAATTGGACAACTGACCGTCCTAGAAGATTTCCTCTAACCTCCCGGTGAGTCATCAGTTGTTGCAGAATCAGCTCAACAATTATGTCTCGCATCGACTTACAACAACGCCTACACATGAGACACATTCACAACATCAAAGTAGTAATTCACGACAACAACTTCAAATTCAGCCCAAGAAACAATAGTTAGTTCTCATTATGCAAATGATGTAAAATGCGCTAAAATAAACCTAAAATAACCCCAATGATACCAAAGTTCAAGCTCAACATAAGTAAAAAGGTCCTAAATAATAGTTTTTTTAAAGAGTTATCAATGATTTTATTGACGAATTGTGGTCGTAAGGATTCAACTGACAATCTACTTCTTCTCCTTAAGGGGTTTTGTTGCATGATACAGGTGAAGCTCATGACGTGAGTGATGTGCATGGTGGCCAGACTCCTCTGTTCTCTAATACTCATCCTATGATCACTAAGAGTAAAGTTGGAATGTTCAAACCCAAAGCCTTCTCCGTGCCAGCAATGGTAGGTGGAGAAAAACCAATCTCGATTCAACAAGCATTGGTGTCACATGCATGGAAAGAGGCTGCAATGGTCGAATATGATGCCTTGGTTCAAATTATACGTGACGTCCGACGGTGTTACGTCATGGCAGGATGACAATTGGGTGTAAATGGTTGTTCAGGACTAAGAAAAATGTTGATGGGTCGATCACAAGATACACAACTTGATTAATGGAAAAAGGCTTTTCTTAAGTTCCTGGTCAGGAATTCCATGACACGTTTAGCCCGATTATCAAGTCGTCTGTTGTGAAAGTTATTCTATCATTGGTAGTAATGCATGGGTGGAGGTTACACCAAGTCGATGTCAACAATGTGTTTCTTAATAAGAAACTAAGTGAGAAGGTGTTCATGGTGCAACCTCTGGGATTTGAACGATGTACATTCGTGGCTCCAAGTTGATTTGTAAGTTAGAAAAAGTGTTGTATGGCCTTAAGCAAGCCCCTCGAACCTGATATGCTAAATTATGAGCTTTTTTTGTTCAAACTGGATTCAAAATAACACAAGTCGATGTGTCGTTGTTTATTTGATGGGTGGATGATGTTTAGTCTATGTTATTGTATATGTTGATGATATTATCACGGGACAAGATAATGTTGAAATTGAGCAAGTGTTGATGCAGTTTTTAAAAAAAAATAAGCATACATGGTGTTTGTCTTACACCAATGGTCAATAGTTGGTTGATTGAATAAATAAAAGAAGGATAAAGTAAGCGTTTAGAATCTAAACTATCAGTTTTGATTCTTTTTAATATTTAAACTTTTAATCGTTTCAAAATCATATCTAATGTTTAATTTTAGTATCCCTCCTTTAAAAACTTTAGATTTTGTTTCATTCTGATACTAAAACGGACCAAAACTGGTGGTTTAAATACTAAACGCGTATGGGTGTGGATGAGCGGTGCTTGAACGAACAAGGTTATGTTCGTGTTCGTTTGTTTATTTTTGAAGATGTTCATGTTCAGTCCGTGCTCGTTTCATTTTTTAGTAACGTGTTCTTATTCATTTATTTATTTTTGAAGGTGTTCGTGTTCATTTATTTATTGTTCACGAACATGTTCGCTTAATGTTCGTGAACGTGCTCATTTATATGTTCACGAACGTGTTCGTTTAGCATTCACGAACATATTCATTTAGCGTAAGATTACTTTTGAGAGTAAAATTATTTAGTGGTGGACCCAGAAATTTAGATATGAGATCCAGAAATTTTAATATTCTTTTTTTTTCATTATAATGGGTATGCAAAATTTCTTATTTTTTCTCCTTACTTTAATATATTAAACTATATTTAATATCTAGTCTAAAATAATGAGTATGCATTTGGCCCATATGAGGCTATATGCATTCGCCCGTAGTATTATTGGAATGTGACATTACTATGATAATATTGTAATTAACTTGCTTGGTTTGTTTAGCTGGAATGCAAAATTATATTGTAATTAGTTGGAGGAATATAAAATTATTTGTATGTATATTTTATCAAATTATTTTTGTGATATATATATATATATATATATATATTAAAAAAGTTAAAACTTTAATATTAAATTATAAATATTTGAATGAAATTCATAGAAATATTTTAATAGTTTTATTATCTAAATACATTTAATATATTATGAGTATATTAAACATATATTTTTAAATAATTTCCATAAGCATCATATTTATTTATATAAAAATATAATATAATATGAAAAAAATATTATACTCTCGAGTAGACAAAATATATTATTTTTCAATCTATAAGATCTATTTTTTTAATAGCTTAAAGTTAGATATTATTTTAAATAATTACATTTTGCAATCATATTATTTTTCATCTCATAAAATTATAAATAATTAATATATTGAATATTAAAAATATAAAATAATTTTAAATACTCAAATTTATTAATATTTTAATAAATTAATTTCTTTTTATATTATTATTATATTTATTATTTTGATTAAATTACAAAAAATACGAATCAAAAATGATCTTTATAAAAAGAATTCATTAGTCTAGAGTTATTCTTGTTCAAAATGATAGAAATTGTCTAATACATAAAAATTTAGAGGTGATGCAATTCTCACATTTTAACCAAAAAAAAATTACTACTGATGGGAAAAGATTATTCCGTGATAATATTTTCCGTAAACCAAACAGTACTAAACACTTAGTTTACCCTTAAGAACTCTAAAAAACAACACTCTAGTAACTAGAGGTGAGAGTTTGATCTAGTCGAGTCGAGTAAAAAAATTTCGAGTTATTTGAGTTAACAAGTCATATTTTACAAATCGAAGTTGAATTGAAATTTTTCCGTGTAGAGTTTATAAAATTCTACTCTAGTCGAGTCGAATTTTTAAGTTTATGTTTAAATTTAATTATAAATATTTATAATATTATGATTTTATTTAATTCCAATTTAAATATTTTTTTTATAATCATATAAAATACATTATATTTTTCCACATGTGATTTACATATATTATAAAAATTTGAGATACTCGACTCAAAACTTAAAAATTAATCTATTATTTACTAAAAATTTCGGGTTATTAGATTTACTATTCAAGTTATTCTAGTTGTATATTACAACTCGGTTTGAATTTAAAATTTTTCAAATCGAGTTTATAAAATTACAACTCAAAATCAATTCAATATGAGTTTTATAAAATAAAAAAACTAATTTTTGACGGTAACATAAGGACGTGTCATGGTGTAAAATGCAGTTAAAAGACGGTTTAAGAAAGTTGGGCTACACGTGGCAGTTGCACCCAATTACTATTGCCCAAACAAAAGCCATTTCCATTCGGTTCTCATAGTTTTCCATTAACAAAAGGCAACGGCGGCGAACCGAGCAACTCAACGTTTTCTCACCGTTCACAGTCCGGTCAGTCAGGTTTCCTCTTGCCCTTGTTTACTTATAATTTTTTGTTCTTTTTTTCTTACTATTGCTTTAATTCTTTGTTTTGAGGTTCAATATTTATTTGTTTTTGAGGTTTTAGGCTGCGTTTTTAGAGAATATAAGGGCTGAATGGAAATGGGTTAATGCGTTTCTGGATTTTTATACTCAGTCTTAAAAAGATCTGATGAGTTCTTTTTTCATTCATATCTTTAGAGAGTGAAAACATGTAGAGTTGCTTCTATCAGGGATTTAAATACGGGTGCGTTAATCGCGATTACGAACAATAATTGTTTTCTATGGTACTTTTACCGCTATATAATGGCCGCTATTCGGATAGCGGATCACTATTTAAATCTCGGCTGCTATTTTCTTCATTTGTATTAGTGATTCTTATGCTAGTCAGACTTATAAATTTGCTGTGGTAAGTTTTGAAATTGTTTGCTTAAGTAATTATAATTGTTTAATCACTTAGTTTTGTCCCCAGAAAGTAATTTTCACCAACAGACAGTGACGGGTAGTTCTGCTATGCAGATGCAGCCTAATTTAAGGCGATTTTTAACATAAAATGTTATCATGTTCAACCTAAAAAGTTATAAAAATTTGCAACATTCTCGGCAATCGAAAAGTTTTATTTTGGGGGTTTAGGGCTTATAAATGAAAAAGTTGTACAGATTTATATAATTTTCAATTTCAACCGAAAATGTCATGAATAAGGTAACATTTTCGGGTTCAACTTAAAATGTTACTCTGTCCAACCTAAAAAGTTACTCTCTTAATATTCGGTTGCACCCGATTTCTGCCATTTTTAGCCTTATATTAACAAGTTGTATTTTAGAATTTCCGCGGTGATGGGTAATATTCGTTTTATAAAACTAATGCGATTTTTTTTTTAATTCAAACAATTATATCAACTATCAACCTGAAGAGAGACTAATAATTAACTGTGCTATTTGAAAATAAAGATGGCAATTTAACTTGAATCCGATGGGTTCCAACTTGACCCGATAGGGTTGGATTTTTTTAATTCGGTTTCGGGTCAGAGTTTTTAAGGGTTAGGTCGGGTTCGGGTGGAGGGTGAAAAAACTCCGACCCGATCCAACCTGAGGATAATTATGTAATTTCATTTAAATTATTAGTATTATTTTTAAATAAATCCTTATTTTTATGTCGGATCGGGTCGGATTTATACTCTAAAAATTTGGGCCGGGTCGTAGTCGGTGGAGAGTATATATTTTTCGGGTCGGGTTCGGGTGGAGGGTGTATATTTTTGGGTCGGGTTGACCAAAAACCCGACCCATTGCCATCTCTATTTGAAAACTTGGTTTGGAATCTTTAAAAGAAATTAAGTAGGTTATCTCTTTATGACTATATGTTTTACAGAATTTTTTTGTTAATCATGTAGCTATAGTTTGTGCTGGGGAATTTGTGCATTTTGTAATTTGTTATAATGAGTATACCCTTTTTCTCCCCAACTGGTTTTGCATCCTTGACCTCGTTGAGTTCCATGGACATTCTTGGAATAGGTGAGAATTGTTTTGCATTTGGTAATATCTTTAACGATGCATGGTGTCGGTTAAGGCTTGGTTAGTCCAAGTCCAATATGTATCATATTTTATGAAACTATTCTCTATGCTCTTTATACACTTTTGCTCAAATATTTTACCATGATTCTTGAGATCATGTGGTCCGTGAAATATGAATGTTTACAATACTTCCCAACACTGAGATGATTATGCGATTATATTCGTGAACTGTATTCATTTCTATGTAGGTACATTCGAACTTTTTCTTCTTTCTTTGGAGGCTTTTCTCCTCGCTATCTAGCTTGTATACATCATACGTGTTCCCGGCCACTGAGTGCATTTTTAGTTAATTCTCTAACTCTCGGTGTGATAATATGGTGCACTTGCGATGCCCTTTAGTCTATAAGTACTTACTCACTTTCCATTGTTGACAGTATTGTAATTTCTACCACCAACTTTAATCCCTTGAAGTATTTATTTCATCCATTACAAGATAATTGTTTCAGCTTTTAGTTTTTATCTGCTCTTAGAGTCATTAGAATTGTGAAATGAACATTTCTTTACATCATTAATATGTTCCATAAGCAGTTACTTTTAACGTATCTCCCAGACTCGTTGTGTTCTTGACATAATCTTTTTTTGGGATCACTGATCTTTAAAACAATCTTTAGACTGACATTATGGATTCCAGGTAGCCAAACCTTTTTCATTCAAGCCATGCCCAGCAGATGGCTTAGTTATGTCACTAGAGAAAGAGAAAGATGCATTTTACATTCTCAATTCCCGTAAATTATGATATATGTAAGTCGATTAAGCAAAATGTCTTGCATGTTACATTATTGTTCTGTTAAATTCTCTCTTGCAGAAAAGAGAATTCCAATACTCCTCAAATTTGCAAGAAGATTGCAAACTGTGATGGAGCATGAATCAATTGAGGTCTTACACGGTATTTTCAAACGCTTACTCGTAGTTAGTATTTTACTTGGCTAAATATGTTCTGCAATCATGAACATCCCTAGGAATCTTTGTACTTTATGGTGCAACTTCTCATAAGATTTGCTCTTGCTGTGTCGTTAAGGTTCCTTATACTTGAATTAAAAGTTCTGCCGAGGAATTAAATTCATCACCATGGGAAGTTAAACTAAATAGACCTGGCATATATTGCATCTATTGATATATAATTTTTTTCTCGATTTTTATAAGTTACTTTTAGTTCATGAGCAGATATGATTATTGTACTGCATTTGCTATATGGAGGTTCAATTTGGGTTCTTGGAGGAGTTTGATTACATTTTACTTTTACTTGCTTGGCTAAACTTTTTAATGTATCTATTTGAATTGTGAGGACTTTTCTTATCCGGTTTGTTGCTGATCTCGAATGTTACAGACAAAGATAAAAACGGAAAAAGGAACAAAGCAACTGAATCCTCTAATTCTGAGGTTGGTATGGAAGATGCTTGTAAAATGGCGCCGTGTTCTCCAAGCAACAACATGCAGGTTAACATGGTTGATTGGAAAGGTGAGGGAGTTGATGACAAAACCGTGCAAAATATGGGGACCTCTGGAGAAGTAAACATGGAGGCTTCTGTAACAGCTGACGATGTTATTCGAGCTGGGGGCTTCGGAGCTAGGGATGATATAAGTAGTTTTCTTCCCATTGCAAGTGACTGGACCGACTTCGAAGCTTCGATTCGCAATGCCAGAGACTATGAAGAGCCTCAGGGAGATGTAAGCAGGCCAGGTCTTGGCTGGAAAGAAGCATCATCACAAAGCAAATAACTCTCTACATAAGTGAGTATTTATCCAAGGTTTATGTTTTTTCCTTTTTCTTGTGATCCTTTTATTTGTTTAATAACTCGTTATATGGATTTTTACAAGTTTCGGGTTTTGAGTTGTATCTATAGACTCACAGTTGCATTTATAAGGTGTGTTCTTCTCCTTATAAATATGGATTTTAAGAAGTTTCGGGTTTGAACAGTTGCATCTGTAACTTGTGTACGTTTATTGTCAATTATTGGACAAGTTTGACATCATAATTATATTTCACTTAACCATCAAAAATAAAAATATATATCTCAATTTACTTTTGATTAAGATATTTTTTTAAATAAATAAATATTTCAATATTTAAATTAAAATATCACGAAATCAAGATCTTAGGGTTTTTTTTTATATAGGTATAAAGTCTAATCTCACTTGTTTTCTCAAACAATGTGGGATTCTTTCCCTTTCCACATTTTTCATTTTCAATGGAAACAAAGAAATACCTCGGAATTTTCTAAATCATTTTCATTTCTTTCTTTTCCAAAAGCAAAGCCATTCCCTAGCCTTCCTTTGGAAGCATGTTTGAGTCTCCTCCTACATATATCATTATCTGATTGAAGAATTAAGTTTATTAAATAAATTAAAATTAATATCAAATTAATAAAATACATAAGTACTAAAGTCCAAATAAATAATTATACTAATTTTTAAACAATCACATCATTCCTTACATTATATTTTGAAACATTTAATAGTTAGATGATCTGATCAATAAATATATTGAAGTGCTCAAATTTGGGACCTTAAGGTATAATAATAATCTATTAACTACTAAGGTCACTTATTCGTACTACAAATAGCCTTCAAACATATGAAAAGACTTAAAATTTAAACATAAACGTGTTGAACACATACCAATTCTAAGACTCATCAGTATAAATATGGGATTGGGAGAAAAGACCAGTACAAATCCATGAAGTCATTTGGGAACAGCAGAGTTGAAATGATATTAATCACTACTACTCTTTGGATTTGCACTAAATCTCAAGTTTGTACTAAGCATCTCTTTGGATTTTCTCAGTGGCTCCCTCGATCCCTGAATTCACTTCAGAAAGTTGATTGTTTAGCGCTTCGAAACTGGCTTCGTCAGTAGGTCTCTCGGTCTGTACGGTGGCCTGCTGCTGCAAGACGCGTTCCCTCTTCTTTTGGAGCTCCTTAACTTCAGCAGTGTACATCTCTTTCCTGTTCCTGATAACCGCCATGAGATTGAATCTTATTTCACTTTGGGAATATCTCTCTATTCGTTCTTGGATTACTGGTTGTACCAACTTCAGCCATTCCATGTCGCCTCGGCCAGCAGGGCACTGACCGAGGCTAATGGGTCCCACTAGGATAAGTACCCGCTTTTCCTAAGAATAGATCTATAAATTCCTTCTGCTACAATTTTCAGAGAAGGAAATAGCATTCCCCATTCACTTATTCACTTCCCCAAATATCTCCAGCTCAGTGACAATACTATTCAAAAAAAGAAAAAGAAAACCCCAGCAATCTAACCATCCATTACATATACAACTGAGCCCTAGAGATTCCCCCCTAAAACTTCATCAAATATTAAAAAAAAAATGAAAACCTTGACGGAACACATAAAAATTAAAAACGAAAAAAAGAAACCTGAGAATTCAACCCGTTTTTAGTAGTTTCTAGGCTTAATAGGAGTTCTTAAAACCTTCTAAAGCATTAAACTCAACTAGTAATCTCTGTTTTTTGTTCTTGTCTAGTGAGAGAAGTTAGAGAAAACTCCAAAACAAGGAGGAAGGAAAAGCTTACCTTGGGTTAAGCCATTGACACTTCCAGCAACCTAGATACTCAGGTAACTCACTTTTAACTCATCTATAGCACATGTAACTCATTTAGGTGAGTTTCGGTAGGTTGCATGAGTTTGAAGCATGTTCATGGTAGTTTACATCGTTTGAGTGTGTTCAATACGTTTAAGATCTCTTTATGACCCCTAATATCAAATAAAACACTTAAACATCAATTAAGAACCTCAATGAGGCTTTTGGGGTAGAAAGAAATGATTTTTCGTGTCAAAACAGGGCACCCTACAACGATGGTATGAATACTATAAGAATAGTATCGAAACTGTTCATCATTCAGACAAAAATTAGGTAATTTTAAAGGGGAATTATCGATACTCATTCATAGAGTATCGATATTAGGGTAGGAGTATCGATACTCCACATAAGGGGTATCGATACTGAATATTTTTCAAAACATCAAACCTAAATTTGGTATCGATACTCAATCAAGTATTGGCACCCCAACACCAGAGTATCGATACTCAACCTAGAGTATCGATATTGCCTTATCCAAATAGCCTATATCAGTCAGGGGGTATCGATACTAGCAGGTGGGTATCAATATCAGGAGGTTTAGTATCGATACTAAAAGATAAATATCAGTACCTATGGACGGATTTGGATAAATAATCCAAGGATTTAGGGATCAGACTCGAGATACCCATAAACTCAGAATTATAGCAAAGAAAACTTCAAACGAGAACAATAATAAATATCATAACAGTAAAAACAATGACAATTAGGATTACATAAAACTATCCTTGTTTGACGCTCTATAAACAGTCAGGACACGTAAGTTCTTCCTTAGCAGAATACGACAATTAGTGGATATCTAAGTCAGTGCCAAGACACTGTAGTAGCCGACTCGCATATGTCCTAAGACTCGATGAAGTAAGTTGGTGGGTGTACATTTCTGATGCATCTATGGATCTCACCCTAGATGCCCGAGGTATCTCGGAACGATTAGAGGATGTGTGAACTCCGAGATGCAGAACCCTCATTCGTTCCATGATGCCTACCCAGTAGTTAAAATCAATAGCTTTGCATGTTCAGACATGTGCCACTAACCAACTCATTTAGTGAACGCATGTAATATAGTACAGTCAGCGTATGTAATGTGTTTCCATGCGTAGGTCCTTAGGTGATCAGTTCTGGAGCGTCGTCATCTCCAAATATTCCAGCATCAACAGAAACTTTTCAAAGTACATCTTGATTTGTATTAGAGGGCATATACCATTGTAGACCCTTTATATTCAAATGTAACTCTATTTTGATTTAAACTCAGTGTATTTATTTGGATGATTTGGGAGCTCCCTACATTTTGTAAACTCAAAATTATTATCAGTTTTCCTTTATTTAGATGAGTGGTTTTATCAGTTATTTTATAAGCATGTTTTAAAGAAAAATTTTGGGTTACTATTTTGATAGTCTCGTGTAACATTGTAATTCATGTATCTTCGGGTCAGATTAGATTAGGGTGTTACATTTAGTGATATTAGAGCACTCAAATTTAATCGTTCCTAGGACCCGCGGGTTTAAGTCAGTCAGTGTCTATAACTGTACATGTATCTAGAGAGTTAAGAGTATTATAATGGCTGGAATGACGATAATGATCTCCCCTTTTCTTCTAATTTCATATAGAAACTATGGCAGATGTAACGTCTTAAAGTCGGGTCTGGTAGTTAGGGTCGATTTCCAGATTTTCGATAAAAATGATTTTTTTTCTCTAAAATTCATATTTTGGTTTTAAAAATATTTTGGAAAGGTTTTAAGTGATTTTATATGATTAATTTTAAATATGGAAGTTTGATTAAATGATTTGGTGGCTGAATTGAAAGAATTGAAAATTATAATTTCGGTGATCATTTTATAAATTTTCACAATGTCCAGAGACTATGAATCAATTACACCAAGGCTTATATTTAAAGTTTTTCCTTCTAAATTAAAATATTTTAATTTCTCCTTTTTACTATTTTTTCATCTAGATTCATTTTAATCTAAATAACTCAAAGTCTCGAAAGCCAGAACTTCCAAGGCCTTTGGGAAGCCGTAGCGAGAGGGGAGCGCCAACCAGTGAATTCTCGATCTTTGAGATTTTGACGTCATTCTAGTTAAATATGATGATATAAAGACCGAAGTTACAGGCATAACGAGAATGAACTAGTCTATTTGAAAATTATAATTCTATCTGCGACATCAGATCGATTCACATTTTTGTACGTACTTGAATTAGATTAAAGAAGTTTTTAAGTTATCCTTTAAAACAAAAATGATAAAAAAAAAATCAAAAGATAAGAGGGAAGGGCTCGGAATATTCAGTAACTCTACCTCTCTGTCACAGTCCTTCCACGTTATAAAATGGCCATGTTTATACCCAACAGTTGACTTAAATAGATGCAATAATCCGACGGCTGGGATTGAAAATTGGATACGATCATTTCCCATGCTTTTGCAATTTATGATTTATGGGGATTTCATTAGAATCTTAATCAATGATTATAATAGACGGACCATATGATGACAGGCATTAATGAGATGGAAGAGGTTGGCATCTTGCTATCTCATTAAGACAGCAAAACAAATGGTGATGAATCATATAGCCCTTCCCCCTTAAATAATGTAATTTTTTAAGGGTAAACTATGCATTTAGTACCTAAACTATCAAATTTAACCCGTTTCAATACTTAAACTTTCAATTTTTTTAAAATCATACCTAAAGTTTAGTTTTTGTTTCATTTTAGTATCCGCGGTTAAAAAAATTAGTTTTGTTTCATTTTAATATCCCATTCAGAATTTAACGTTAATTTTGAAAAGATTAAAAGTTTAGATATTAAAACGGATCACAACTTATAGTTTATGTACTAAACACACATTTTACCTTTTTTTTGAACTCCAATTTCCCGTAATACAACTTGACTAATGAGTTCAAAATTAAATAGAATAATATACGTGAACTCATGAAGTGGTCTAGGTTATAAAAGAAAACATTGTTATTTCTAGTAGACTCGAGTTGAAGTAAATGTGAATTGTTGATATGCTAAGAAAATTTCGAATATATACTACCTTGTAAACACCTCAGATTATTCAATTAGGCTATCGGATCATATCCATAACAAGCACAAATAAGTTGCTCATCCAAATGTGACAAACTTTGAAAACAAAACCTTTAGTTTTAGTTTCATTTTAGTATCTCCATTCAAAATTTAACGTTAGGATTTGAAAGATTAAAAGTTTAAGTATTAAAACGGACCCAATACTGAATGTTTCAGCTGTATGCTAATGAAATCTACATGATTCTTTGATCAGAAATGGCATGTGTTCATTCAACAAGTCCAAAAATGTTAAATCAATGCTCTTGAAAATTAGACTTAAAAACAAACAGAAGATGATGAAACGTCAGAGATGAAGATGGACTTCATATTGCAGATCATAATGTACAACTTACCTCTAATAACAGTATGAACTAAGAAGAAATGATTAACACAAACCCCATTAGCAGCAGATGAATTAATTCCAAAAATCTATAAGCTTAGGAATTTACTGTTTCTTACACCGACGTCGCGGTCCCGAGTCCCCAATGGAAGCTATATGCCGACCGAGAACGAAGACGGTGACGACTTAGTTACAGGCACGGAAGTCTGCAGAACTGAAGCTGCAATGGCAGAAAGTATCAAAGAAACTACAACCAGATTAAGTACACTCCCTAACAGCTCAAGATGAAGATTTGGATTAAATTTTACTCATTTGCCAATTACCACCAGCCCCTCAAGATCACTAAAATGATAACACCCGCCAACATGCTACATGATGAAATAGGATAAAAGACTAATCAACATAAAGAAGTGGAAGAAATGGAGTGGCGATGAGTGCGAATCAATCGTCTTCTCCGGATGGAAATAAAGTGAGAACCTTCCTTCCACCATTCCCGTTGGCAGATTCCAAATCTTGTAGATGGCTACTGGGAACTTGGTTATGCAATGGCGCCCCTCCCATCCTATGCAGTGGTTGCTGCGTCTGCCTAGCTAATAAGGGATGCTCGAATTGGCCATTTGGCGATGACCCGAAATGCCCCAACTGCCTATGATACTGAGCCTGCAAATGCGGATGTCCTACAGCGGCCGCCACCATCTGGTGTTGCTGGTGGTGATGCTGCAGCCCTGGCACTGGCACAATCGGCAAGAAATGCTCCGAATTACTCCTACCAGGATGAAGGAAGTGGGGTGGAACCGGCGAGCTTGCGAACAAATGGTCGGTAGCCGGATCAGTCGTGGCGGCACTGCCAGCTCCGCCGTTGGAACGGCCGCCGGGTCCGCCTGATAAGCCCTGCATCCTCTTCAAATAGAGGCGATACTTCTGCAAATGACTGGCGACGTTTTCCCTGGTCAGACCATCGACGCTCATCAACTGCATTATGATCTTGGGGACGGCGTTCTTGATCCCCAAGTGAGCCACGGCGTCGACAAATCTCTTGTGCAGCTGTGGGGTCCACACGAGTCGAGGCCTCTTGAGAGTCAGCGCGGGCTCGTCTCCGGCACCACCGGAGCCCAAGTCCCCGGAATCGGAGGCTAATTCGGAAGAGGTGGGCATAGAAGGAGCCTGCAGAGCCGCACAGGACGTAAGAGGAAGAGCAGCAGCAGGCGGAGGCGGAATCCGGTAGTCTTGATTCGGGTTACGAATGTCGAAGGCGAGAGCAAGATCAGGCGTGATTAGGGTCTGGGAAAGAGGCATCAGCTCCTCCGGGGACGGCAGCTCTTCCTCCCATCTCGAGAACCAATTCGGTTCTTCCTCCCTCATTATTTTTCTTGTTCAACCCACAAAATAATCTTAATTACAAACAAATATGGAACAACCAAAAGCAGCCCCAAAGTTCAGCAAACAAAAAGATGAATGAATTTCAGAAATGATTTGACTTCATGGAAACAAAAAGATCAAAAAACAAGAAAATACTTACAGCCACAAAGCAGAACAGAGGGATTCCAGGTGGATCTTGTTTTTATTCCTTCTTCCTCCTTTCTGTGCAGCTTTATTAATTAATGCTTCCCCCCCCCCCTTCAAATTCTTTTCCTTTATTGTTTTCCAGGATTCGGGTTGGGAAAAACATAAATAAGTTGTTGCAAATGTACCCCCCAAAGCTTACACTGCATATTTGCAGTCCTACCCTATTTAGATCATCATCACATTCTATAATTCCTAATACTTTAAAGGGTAAATTATAAATTTGGTAACTAAATTTTACTCTCTCTCATATTTCATTTATTGTACTTTAAATCATTTTAATTTTCTCAATGAACTTAATACATTAAGTTTTTTGGTTACTCGGTCGTTAGATAATTAACGACGTTAAAATAAATAGTTATATAAATGCAAAACGACAAAATTTTGGTAAAAATTTTGTTCTTTTAAAATGACATTATTTTTAATGTCGTTAACTATTTAACGTCAGAGTGACCAAAATAGGAGAGCTAGAGTAAAGTTCAATAACAAAAAAACTCAATGTATTAAGTTTGGTGAGGAAATTGAAAATTTGTAAAGTTTAGTGAGAAAAATAAAAAAGAGAGTAAAGTTCATTGATGAAATTTATAATTTATCATACTTTAAAAAAATATAGGGTAAAGTACACAAATGGTCCCCTAACAATATGATATTAGTTTATTAAGTTCGTGGTCTTCCGAATATAAAACGTTACTTTGTTAAGTCCTTTTGTTATTAAAAGTTATAAAACGATCATATGACTATTCATTGTGTTTTAAGCTCGTCCTTTTCCGTTAAAAATTTGTGTTAGTCTAAATTGGACGTTAACATAATGACTGGGATGTATTAGTTAAACGAGATAATTGAATCAAATTTTATCATATCTCCATCAGGAAGTTAACGTTCAGCTCAAAATACTATTAATTTATTAACAATAAAAGACGAGTTTGAAACATAATGAATAGTTAGGTGACCATTTTGTAACTTTTAATAGTCGAGGGACTCAACAAAATAACATTCTATAGTCGAAAGATCATTTTGTAACTTTTAATAATCGACGAACTTAATAAAACAATACCCTATAACCAGTAAATCATTTATGCACTTTACCCAAAAATCTATTAATTTACTACAAATCTATAAACGAATTTAGTAATAACAAAGGAATACTTTTCTTAAAACTTTTCAAATCCCAATAGTTACATTGTAAAATCTGATGGTTAAAAATTTATAAACAAATATTTTAAGACAAAATATATATATATTTTAAAGCATTAATAGCATATTAACTAATAAATTTTATTTACGAAAAATCTTTTCATCCAAAATAAAATATTGAGGTTAGAACCAAAATGATAATTTAATTAAGTGTTAGAATCATTTTTTATTTTTTATTATTCCTGAAGTAAAATAAAATCGGAAATCGAGTAGGATTGAAATTCCAAACGTTGGTAAGAACAAGAAGTCAGTGAAACCTTAGTCAATAGTCATTGAATGGGTCAGATACTACCCCAGGAATGACTAGAGATGGACATGGATCGAGTTGAATTCTCAATCAACTCGATTTAACTCGACCTAAAAAATATGTTCCTTTTTGACCCGAATTTAGAAGTGACTTCACCCGATCTAAACTCAACTCAAAATAAATATATTTATAAAAATTATATTTTTTTTATTTAATAAAAATAAAAATCTAATGAAAAAAATAACATATAAATAATTATTATTGTAACTATCCATAAATATAAAGTAAATTTGTGTTATTTTTTTAGTCAAGTCTAGTATTTTTCATACTAAATCCAAACCTGATATGAATATTTTTTTTAAAAAAACTAGACCCAACCTGAATCTAATTTTTAGAAAAAGAAAATCGACCAGATCAAATGAGGTCAAAACCAATCTGATTTGGGTCCATGCATATCCCTATGAACAAACTAAGGCCTTAACCTATAATAAAATATGAGCAAGCAAAGTGGGGGGGCATCAAAGCAATTCACATCATAACATGACCAACAGATAACATGTCTGAATACTAAATATTCTTTAATGTCTTGCAATACTGTATTCTTAGTCGAATATATATGTCGGCAGAGCAGTTTGAGAGTGAAACATCGTTTCTTCCCAGCAGCAACATCCCCATTATGACAATCTACAGGTGGAGAACCAGCACGAAGCTATGCCCCTGTGTATCAGTAATTACTCACAATCCCACGCACTGATGAATACGTCCCAACCACTGCACACACTGCGGCTATTACAACGATTGTTGCACTCAAAACCATCTGTTTACATGATAAAAAAAATATTTGTCGAATAAGAAACGGAGATGAAAGGAAGAATGTTTTTAGTACATAAACTTTTAATTTTCACAAAATCATGCTAACGTTAGTTTTCATTTCAATTTAATACCCACCGTTAAAAACTTAACACGTTTAGTACCTAAATTATCAGTTTTAATCCGTTTTAATACCTAAACTTTCGATCTTTTCAAAACTTAATGTTAAATGAAGCAAAAACTAAGGGATTGTTTGTTTGCTTCTTAATGGAACCGTTCAGCATTCAGCGCGTCTGTTTTGCACCTTTGAATGATTCAGTGCTGACTGATTCAGCAAAACAGTGCTGAATGATTCAGCACAGAAGTACATTCTGAATGATTCAGCACAGAAATACATTCCGAATGATTCAGAGCCATTATCAAACATGTCACATTCAGAGCTAATTTATACAGAGCCTCTGAATCATTCAACATTTGAATCATTCAGTGCTTAATCATTCTGAAATAAACAAATAGCCCCTAAAGCTTTTAACGGTGGGATACTCAAATGAAATAAAAACTAAATGTCATGTATGATTTTAAAAAAATTAAAAGTTTAAGTATTAAAACGGACCAAAACTAATGATTTAAGTACTAAACATGTAATTTACCCAAAGTTTAATGTCTAAAATAACATCATTTTATGTATCGGAACAATCACACCAAAATGACGTCGTTTCACTGTAGCAGTCCACATTAATAATTGTTAGTCATGTCATCGTTCTATTACTCGCTTACGGAGTGACATAACTAAATACGAATATAAAGCTAAAGTAAAAGACCAGTGATGTAAACGAGTGAGTGGACAAAACTATAAAAGAGAATAAATGAATGCAACAAGTTTATTCTGCTTACATCTATCCTTGAAGCTTTCCTTCCGGCGATCTTAATGAAACATAGTGATGGCATTATTATAGCCTGAAATATATATAACAAAATTAGTTTATCCTTGCAGAAGATGAATGCAATTTCTTATTCAAAGAAGCCTCCATGAAAGATTGTTTAGGTAAAATTACGCATTTAGTACCTACAATCCTACACTATCAATTTTAGTCTATTTTAATACCTAAACTTTTATTTTTTTCAAAATCATACCTAAAGTTTAGTTTTTGTTTCCTTTTAGTACTCTGCCGTTAAAAACTTTAGTTTTGTTTAATTTCAGTACTCCGTTCAAAATTTAACGTTAAATTTTGAAAAAATTGAAAGTTTAGGTACTAAAATGGATCAAAACTGATAGTTTAACTACTAAACGCGTCAAGTTCTTAATGGCATACACTAAAATGAAATGAAAACTAAACGTTAGATATGGTTTTGAAAAAATTAAATGTTTAGGTGCTAAAACAGACCAAAACTGATAGTTTGTACTAAATACGTAGTTTACGAGATTTTTTCAATTGAAAGATTGAATTAACAGAACACAAGTTACTTACCACCATGAAGCTTAGAAGAGAACCAATTAAAGCCATCAGAAGACCTGTGGTCAAGACAATTGCACATATAAATCACTGCATTCTTATAGATTATAGCTGTTAGAAGCCATTGTACAATCCTCTTCCTTACCAAAATTGTTAGCGAAAATCGTGATCGTGTTATTACTAATATGAGGAGGATCGTAGTTATTCTTCGTACTACAACCGAATAGCAGACAGAAGGAAATACTTGAGCTTGCCAAACTGATGAACTACTTAAGAATGATATGATATTTGTTATAACAAGGACTACGGCTTGCTCGTTCCGAGTGTTCCTAGCCTAGTGAAGGTCATTGCAGAATCGTCCGATAGTACGAGCTCATGACACCAACTAGTGTTCCTAGCCTGTTAGAAGGCCTGTGCCAGTTCAACTTCAGAGTGATGCCACTCCCAATACTGGCTAGTAACCAAGGGAATACTTCATCAAGCATTCATTCCCCGTTAATTTTTTTATCGAATTGCACCGAAACAAAAGTTGAACGGCCAATTTGAACAAAACAAAAGTAGATGGTATTATCGATTATTGACCATGAGTACCATGGCAATGAGGTAGATATCCATGGATTTCACTCTTGATAATATGCATTCTGGTTTTGTAGGTTACTATCTTGCAAGCATAACTTGGCACAGATCTAGAAGAAATGACACCACCTATGATTATTTACTAGGCTCATACGATTTATCGCATCATGAAGTATGAGAGATAACCGAATCCAGACAATTGATAGAGAGCGAATTCCGAAACTTACCGAAGAAAGGCATGGCAAATGCAACGACAAGGGTAGAAAAGACTAATGCCGCTCTCAGAAGAACGAAACACCATAAGCTATCCACGATATGATCTGGCAGCAGCTCCTCTATGCTCCTCGCCAAGGGGATCAACAATAATGCATATTTGTTAGACGTCAAGGAACAAAATCGGTATATAGGAACGGATTTAAAAACATATAAGCATTTCTAATACATAAAGCCAAAAGGATATTTTGTGAGTGGGTTGATAACCTGTAACACCAGAAGAAAGGCAACTTAGAAACAACAACAAACCTCCCTCTGGACGAAAAAACCTTTAAAACGAAGAGCCTCATACTTACCGTCGTCCACAACGCGATTTTAGAAACAATAGCATCTGGTGGCATATTCAAAGTTATTTGAGACGATGTGCTTTGACCAAACTCGAGATAACCCATGACTGCAACACCTCCGTACAATACGATACACAAAAAGAAACTGCAGAACAAAACATCTACCGGAGATCAGAACAAAAGGAGCACAAGAAACATCCTTCGAAGCTGCGACAAAGTTTCCTTACCATATTTGCATTGCTTTCTTGAATTGTGATTTATCAGCCATCGATTGATAAATATTAGGAAACACAGAGTGTCCTGAATGACAAAATCCATACACACCAATTACAACAGGAAGGCCGCTCCAATTCACAACTTTACCGGTATGATGGAAGCCAACACCGCCCAGTGTACCGAGATACAGAAGACAAAGACCTATTACCAATGTTGCAACAACCCCACCAGCTGCAAAACAAGTAAAGGGATATCTGGGGTGAGTTCATAATGAAATTTTTAACATTTTAGATGCTTGGGGTACATTGAGCATCTTTGCAGCACCTGAAAGATAAGAAATCAAACGGATATCTTTTAACAAGACGGTCGGTAGAATAACAAATGCAATTAAAATTCCAAAGAGATGCGTCGAATCCAACTTTAGAAAAGGCCAATCCAAAGAAACTCCAGGAAATAGCCTTGTAAGATTGTCACCTTCCATGATAATAAATTCCACACAATATGACTGTACAGGTGAAATGAAAATCTGTTAATTAGATAGGGAAATTGCAGCATACAATCCATTAAAAAAGTAGATTAGAAGCAAGAGCGTACATATAATTCTGTATAGAGAACAATCTGCAAAAAAAACCAACAAACAATGCATATTGTTAGAGAACAAACATAGTTGTACCGAATACAGACTTTTAGGTACCGGTATCGAATACGAAAGATTCATTATACTTAAAAGCAATAAGCTAAGGAAGTAAGGATAACTCACAGATACCAAAAGGCGTCCGAATCGTCCGAAAGCCGCTTCACCCATATCAGGGTAAGATATAATTCCTTCTCTGCTTTCAAAGCAGTATTTCATGAGTGTGGCTGTATAACAACATACAACAGCAAAAAAGACTAGAACCAACAAGCTTGCCCAGCCTGCATCTGCTATTGTATGAGGTGTGGAGAGAAGCCCAACTCCAACCATTACATTTATGGCTATCAAACAAGCAAAATCATCAAGTTAACAAAATTTTGAAACCATAGGAAACATCAAGATAATAATTGTCAATTTATTAAATCACAACCCTCATAGTTTTTTTATTAGCCTTATTTTATAGTCAAGACTCTCAATCATTTGACATTGAACGCTTATACGCCCCTGCATACATGGTGCTGGAACCTAAAACCTCAAGAGATAAAAGACTCTCAATCATTTAACATTGAAAACTTATACACTGCTACATACATGACGCTCAAACTCAGGATCACAAAGGATAAAAGACTGTTAACCATTTGACATTGTGCTCAAACCCAAGACCTCAAGGGATAAAAAACTCGAATACTTATACACCCTTGCATACATGGTGTTCAAACACGAGACCTCAAAGGATAAAGATTCTTAACCATTAGACATTGAACGATTACACACCCTTACATACATAGTACTCGAACCCGGGACCTCAAGGGATAAAAGACTTAACCATTTGACATTTAACACTTATACACCTCTGCATACATGGTGCTCAAACTCGATACCTCAAAGAATAAAAGATTCTCAACCATTTGACACTGCCGCTTATACACCCCTATATGCATGAAGCACGAACCCAGAACCTAAGGGATAACAATAATCCCTTAATCATCAAGGTCAATTGGGTCATGCACAACCATCATAGTTATATGAAGTGTCAGATAACAACATGACTTACAATTAAATACGGTCTGGGTCACGCTGCATCCATAAGAAATGGGAAACTCTCCAGTAAGTTGCTTAGGGAATGATGGCCTCTGTGACCACCCTGACTGTGCTCTTGAGAGGCTCTCCAAAAATTCCTTGGAATAACTCTTTCGATTCTCGGGCATAAGAGGAAGTCTTCCATCCAGTTCCAAATTACTTTTCTGACTGGTAAAACTAAGATGTCTCAAATTTTGAATTCCCCCAACGATTCCAAAGCCAGGAGATGCCGTGATTGTATAAGGATCCATTGTCTCTCTGTAACAAACACAAACAAGTACCCAGAAAAAATTAAACACTGCATGTGTTCACATCATCAGACAAAGTCGGTGATTTAAATAACGGTCCTCTATCAAAATAACAGCTTCTATACAGCAGTAAAGGTGCTTATTATACAACCGTCATGTTCATAAAGACCGCAAAACACCTACTATAGTCGCAATTGTAATAAAAGCAAACGCGAAGAAATTTAAATCCCTAACAAAGGCACTGTTTTTGAAAGATTTGGCAAAAACCCAATTCTCATAGCAGATGTATGAACCATTAGAACATATATTTCCCCTTATTTCTTTCAAATCTATGTTTCAAGTAAAGTGACCTTTTCCTCGCATTAATCAATAAGATCACGAATGGATCAAGAGACGGGTGAAAACAGTCGTCGTTTCACTAAAATATTTATATTATCTATGTTTCAGATTTTATGTAATTGTATTTTATATTGTAAGTTCACTTTTAACAGAAAATCATATATTCATTTCTAATTTAAATATTACATAAGGAAGGTGATGTGATGTAAACCGAATGAATATACTTTCAGAAGAAAAAAAGGATAAAAGATTACACTAGACGAGCAAGAGAAGGAGAGAGCATTACTTGAAACTCTGAGGCCATTGCTGTGAAGTGAAAGAAGGATGTCGCCGGGAGCCGTCGACATCATCATCGGTACGGTAGTTGATGCTGGCGTCGCTGACGTCGCCGGCCTTGCTCCCTTCAAGGTCGTCCTCATTTTCATCACTTTCCAGTAGGAACTCCTCATCATGCTTATCCTTCACCTCGTCAGCCATGATAACTGGATGAAAAGAGAGAAATGAAAACTGGGTTTTGATCGATTCAAGAGAGGAAGGTGGCAGAGTTTGAGGGGGGATGAATGGCTGTAAAACAAGTTAAATAAGGGAGTAAACAGTGGAGCCAAATAAGGAAGAAGGTTTTCTCGTAACATCCAGAAGAAGACAGTAGACTATTACGGAATTTGTTTGTTTCCATTCTAAGCATTTAACCACCCAGCTGTACCTTTTATCCATGCACCCTCTTTGTTGTTTGGGTAAACTACGCGTTTCTTATCTTAACTATCACTTTTATTTCGATTTAGTCATCTGATTATTTTTCTTATTTCAAAATCATGCATAATGTTACGTTTCGGTTTCGTCTTTATCACTTGATGTTAAAAAACTAAGAAAAAATTACATGCTTAGTATCTAAACTATCAGTTTTGATTCGTTTTATTTAGAATTTTCAAAAACTATGCATCAAGATAAGTTTTTTTCATTTTAGTATACACTGTTAAAAACTTTAGTTTTTATTTCATTTTATTACCCATTCAAATTTTAAATTTAAGTTTTGAAAGTTTAGGTAGTAAAATAGAACAAAATTGATAGTTTATGTATTAAACGTGTTAAGCTTTTAACGGTGGATACTAAAATGAAATGAAAACTAAGTGTTACATATGATTTTAAAATATTGAAAGTTTAGGTACTAAAATAACCTAAAACTGATAGTTTATGTACTAAATAAGCCGTGACAAAAATTAATAGAACTATTGACATGATATTTGTTAAAAAAATTCAACGATGATGTGACATTACCTTATGATGGCACATCAGTATCACAGTTAATTTTTTTTTAACTGTGAGTAACCAAAATGAAATAAAAATGTAACGCTAGATATGAATTTAAAATAAAAAGTAGTTTAAAAAAAAACCCCCGGTTTTTTGCAAACCGAAACCGATTACGCCGGTTACACCATCCGGCCCTCCAAACCGATTAAGATCCGAACCGGTTTTTTTAAAATCCGGTTTTTGGGTTGGGAGAAAAACCGGATCGGTTTTTATCCGATCCGAATCGGATTGAAATCCGGCTTCTGTGCATCTCTATATGTGACGATAAGAAGAAGAAAAGGAATAATTTTTGCATTCACAATAATATCCCTAAAAGGTAATTTTTGTGAAAAACGAGTATTGAATCTATAATTTAAGGAAAATAAAATGTGTTAATTGGAAATTTTTAATTATATGCGAGATTGTTGATTTTAATTGTTTTTTTTTTAATTTTGGTATTTTAGGAATATGAAATGAAAGTAAATATTATGGTTAGTTAAAATAATTTTTTTTATATAGAATGTGGTTTGTTTTATTAAAAATAAAAAAAATATCTAAAATTACAATTAAGATTTACAAGCATATACGTAAACTTAAAATATAATTTTGATATTTTAGTATTACCACTGAGACAAAAATTAGCCATCTAGATCACATAAGGACCGAAGAAGGAAAAAGTTAAAAAAATAACAAAAAAGACTCGAATAAAATAAAGATACGAACAAATATAATTCTAATTGCAACGGTAAACAAACCACAAAAGGGGATAAAGCTACTAAAATACCACCGACAAATCGTAAATCAGAGTTAGGCGACATCAGAAAATAATACATGAACACAAAATGCGTATCCAAATCAATCTGAGGGTCCAAAGTAGGGAAGATCATCATGATAACAAATCATCGCCATCTTGATCAGTTGTGGCGATGTTAAATCCAACCATGAGAAAAAAAAACAAAAAACAAAAATTCTTAAGCTACCAAAAGACACATAAAAACATGTCACAAAGGCAGAGATAAACCTGCCATAAAGACAGAAAATATGTCACAAATACATAATTATTCTTATTAAAAAATTAAAAGAAAAAAGGATAATCGGTGGACGGAAACTAGCATTAAAACCAGTGCCACCGTCGTTAGATAAAATTAAAGAAGAAAATGTTGGATTGATCAATAAAATTTACATAAATTGTAAAGAATAAGAAAATGAAAAAGATAATTAAAATAAAGTTGAATAATTATAAATAATAAAATCCCAAGATACTATTTTATAATAATATATATAATCCAACCCCATAGACGTAGGAGATTATAAAATAATAATTTGGCCTAATTTGTTAAAATCAGACGTAGGAGATTCAAGTATGAGAAATAAATTGAGAGAATATTACCTTATTTCGTCTCGAAACTTTTGATCCAAAATTGTAGAGTTGTGTTATGAATCTAATTTCCTTCCCACAATGTTGATTTCAAGTCTTTACGATAGCGTCATGACCTCTACGCAATCCACCTAAGCAGAACAAACAATTTTATTTCTTTTATTGTTTAAGAATTTAGACTTTATACCTTATATAGCCTTTAAAATCATAATTCAACTCAAATTAGATTTTATCATATATATATATATATTATCGTAAACTGAATATTATATTTTAAATTAGTTTGATAATTATAATTGTCTACACTCGTTTTCGCCCCGACTGTCATTATTATTATTATTATTGTAGGCCCATTACATTAAGCCCAAAACATGCCTAAATTACAACAATTACAACTAACCCATAACCATACATGGTTTACAACTAGTTAATCCAAAGCCCATGATCCGACCCGGTTTGGTCACCCACTACCAACACCATGCCCTACCATCACTGTGCCACCATACCCTGCCACCCATATTGCTGCCTCACCTCTGCACCACCAACCAAGCACGCCATCACCTAGTCCTGCGAACACTGCAACACCCAGCAGCTCTCATCAACAGCAAGTCACCAAACACAAAAACAACGACCTTTTTTTACATGTAATCGAGGTTCTATAAGAACCCGAATGAACAATGTAATCGATGTCTCCCTGAAATTTCGAAAGAAATAAAAGAAGCATCATTTTGTATTTTATTATTTTTTTTTCTAAATGTACAAACTAAAAAAAAAAAAAGGAGTAGAGATACCATTCTGCCAAAGCCTCACCGACTATTGGGGCCTCCGTTGCCCTATCCGGACGGTGAGAAGAAGCATACGAGCGAGGGAAACAACATACTGAAGAATCAGCTAGATCCAACGACTGACGAATAAGACCAGGGTGCCAAAAGTCGAAGAGTCTCGACCCTATTTCACAAAGTTGGAGGTTATTTCGTGCAAAACGAGCCTATCTATGAGACGAGGAGCCCGAGATGAGTCTCTTGATAAATTTTGGTAGCCAACGACCACCGGCGGCGACCCAGACGGCAACGCGATGGTGGGATTCCTTCTCTCTCTAAAAAAAATAAAATAAAATAAGTAAAGAAAATAAAAAAGAAAAAGATTGCTTTTATATAAAACTTTAGGGGGGAATTGCACTTAGGTCCCCCTAAGTTAAGCATATTTTTACAAAATGATCACCTGTAGGGACCGAACTTGCTATTTTTCCTTTTTTATGCATTATATAATTTTTTATTTAATTTATGTTTAGTTCCTTTAGTTTAGCCGTGTTTTTGCATGTTAGTCACATATAGTAACCACTTTTATGCATGTTATTTAATTTTTGGTTTAATTTCCTTTTAGTCCTTGTATGTTTAACGTTTGTGAATAATTCTTTCTTCATTCTTCCCTTTTATGGTAACTTATTTATTGTGTTTATTTCATAATTTTCATTAATAGTTTAAATGATTTATTAATGATTATTTTTTACTTTTATAGGGTGTTTAACAACAAGCATATTAATGATTAGTTTTTACTTTTATAGGGTGTTTAACAATAAGCATATTAATGAAATAATTGTAGTCTGAAAGGTATAGTAAAGTCGGAAATGTTTAGCACTGTTGGTCATCGTATTCCCCTTGACTTTACCATTACTTGGATTGGTATAATTGTTGATTAGGCTGGGTCTAAATGCTTACTGGAATTCGTCTAAATGCTTATTGGACTTATTTTAAATGATTCATTGATGCTTGTTGTTGGCTGACTGTTGCCTTGTAAATTGTTGTTGTTGTTGGTTTCACTAAATTGAACCATTGTAAATTCTTATCTAATTAGTTACATATGGTTAAATTATGTTGGTGGCACTTCGGCTTTTAAAGCTTATAAGTTGCCCATAATTTTAATCATACTGGCAACATTTAGATCTTTTCAGATAAACAAAAGCTCGATGAAGAAACTTTTCGTAATAAAGTCGGGTCTTCGACCTTGTAAAACTTTTGCTATAAGATCTGAGAGCTTAAATTTTATCATAAATTTATTTACTTCATTTAATTGTAATTTTGGTGCATTAAGTTATAATAAATTTAATTTGTACATTTATACATTTTGTTAGTTTCAATATTTATAAAGTGCTTAAATTTTTAATTTAATATTTAAGTTGGATTATATTTATGTTATTAATTATTACATAAAAATAATTTATGAGTCATTTAATAAAATTAATTTAATAGTTATCATTTTTTTAAATATTACGAACATAAGAAATATAGAAATTAAATTTAGTAATATAATGATAATAATTACTAATTTATTTACATTTATTATTCACTTTATTAATTCCAAGTCATTAATTTAATAATTTTTTGAATATATTTATAGGATACAATTTATAAACATAAAAACTATATAATTTAATTTAATTATCATATTTAATCATGCACTCAAAATTGCGAAGATGTATTATGTCACATTATAATATTAAAAATTCATAATTTTTTAACTTCATCAATGGTAATTGGTAACATATATGTAAATATTAGATTAGTTCGATAACATGTCAGATCATTTACATATTAAGTCAATTACATGTCAGGTTCACAACGGATCAGATTGAGAACAAGTCGGGTGATATCAGTTATTTATCGGGTTAATATCGGGTTCGGGTTCATATCAAGTTAGATGCAGGTCGGGTTCGATTATCACATTATCAGGTTCAATTCGGGTTAAAGTAGTTATCAGGTCGAGTGTAGGTCTAGTGCAGGTCATAAATTTTTAAGTCTAACTCGGGTTAGTCAACATCAATTCAAACTCAAATCAATTTCAAATCACCGCCAACTCAAATCATAAACAACTTTAACTCAAGTCAGTTTCAATCAATTTTACGTATTAGATCAATTTTTTACATCCCTAATAAAAATAAATTGGGCGTAATAGTTGGTTTGCCAAATGCCACCTCATCCACTCCACCTGCTCAGCTTATGGTCAGCGCCACATGATTTCACAATTAAAAGCCACCATCCGTATCTCTTCCCAGGATTTAGTGGGTCCCACCTGCATCATTTTCCTTCCCTTTAATTAAACAATTTATCAATTTTAAGCTCCCTTAAAAATGTAATTATTCCATTCATTATATCAATAAGTTTATTAAAGGGTAAATTATGCATTTAGTACTTATTAATTTTGACCTGTTTTAATATCTAAACTTTTATTTTTTTTTAAATCATATCTAAAGTTTAATTTTTGTTTCATCTCAGTATCCCGCCATTAAAAACTTTAGTTTTTAGTTCATTTTAGTACCCCTCTTTAAAATTTAATATTAAGTTTTGAAAATATTGAAAATTTAGATACTAAAACAGATCAAACTAACAGTTTAGGTACTATACGCATTAAGTTTTAATGGAAGGGTGCTGAAATAAAATAAAAACTAAATATTATGTATGATTTTGAAAAATTGAGAAAGTTTAGGTACTAAAACTAGTAGTTTAGATACTAAATGCATAATTTACCCTTTATTAAAATACATAATAAGATCAACGACATCCATATTAATGATATTATTTTCCTTAAGGAATTTAGATTTGAGCAGCTGCATTTATAGATTATGTGTATTATTAATAATTAAACATGATTTTAAAATATTCAATAATCAATTGATATAATAAAATGAGATGTTATGTCCTTTAAGTAATGTCAGAAATTCAAACTCTGACATTTACAAATTGAATTAAGAATATCGTATCTAGACATATACAAAATTCAATTTAAAATATTGAATTAACAAATTAAATATTAATAATTAAATTAGAAAAAATCAAATAAATATTGACTTATAATTATCTAAAACTATTAAAATAAAATTCGATCCTTCATACGTCTTCATTGATTTTCTTTCTTGAAAATATGAATGAGAGCATATATCATATATTAATATTATAAATAAATAGATAAATTACACGTTTAGTAACTAAATTATCAATTTTGGTTCATTTTAATACTTAAACTTTCAATTTTCTTGAAATCATAAATAAAATTTAGCTTTTGTTTCATTTTAGAACCCTGTCGTTAAAAACTTTAGTTTTTGTTTCATTTTAGTACTACCGTTCAAAATTTAACTTTAAGTTTTGAAAAGATTGAAAATTTAAGTATTAAAACGGACCAAAATTGATAGTTTAGGTATTAAACACATTAAATTTTTAACGGTGAGTACTAAAATGGAATGAAAACTAAGAGTTAGGTATGATTTTGAAAAAATTAAAAGTTTAGATACTAAACGGATAAAAACTAATAGTTTAAATACTAAATGCGTAGTTTACCCTAAATAAATAAGACCACTCTCCCACTCTCCTATAAAAGGATAAACTACACATTTAGTACATGAACTATTAGATTTGGTCCGTTTTAATCCTTTCATCCCTACAAATTCACACCCATACTACCATTGCCTTCATCGCTTTTCCATTTCGTAAATCCATCACTTTCCATACTACAACCTTCACCATCTTTACATTCATAACATTAATCCTTATCAGTTCCGTTATTTTATCTTATTCATATAAATCAACAACTATCACCCTTTTATCTACTTTCATCTCTTTCAACTGTCATTTTTTGAATTCAAGTTACAAGTTCAGTCGCTTACTAGAATCACGATCGGGCAACTATATATATGACTTGGGACACACAACTGGGTTCATATCTAAACACTTTAGTATCTAAGTTGTTGGGTTTTGTTTTTATTAAGGACTTATATGTGTCTGATTCTGATTTTGGTGAAATTTACAAAGCTTGTGAAAGGGGAACATCTGACAAATACTATAGTGATGATGGTTTTTTATTCAAGGAAAGAAGAATATGCATTCCACGCTCTATAACCTATTTTAGTGAGAAATTGAGTGGAGCTATGCTTAATTATCCTACCTATGACAAGGAGATTGATGCTCTTGTTCGGCCAATGGAAACGTGACAACACTACTGATATGGCCGCCAGTGACAAGGACCCGGAAAAATATCCAAGTGGCCCCATCACACGTGCAAGGACTAAGGAATTTGAATGGGATCACATCACCTAAATTTTTATTTTTTTTTAAATCATACCTAACATTATTTTTTATTTCATTTTAGTACCTACCGTTAAAAACTTGATGCATTTAGTACCTAAACTATTAGTTTTAGTCTATTTTAGTTCCTAAACTTTTAATTTTTAAAACGATTAACGTTAAATTTTGAAAAGGGGTACTAGAATGAAACAAAAACTAAAGTTTAGGTATATTTTTAAAAAATTGAAAGTTTAGGTACTAAAATAGACTAAAATTTATAGTTTAAGTTCTAAATTCATAATTTGCCGAAAACAAATCCCCATCTAGATTCATTTCGTTATTTTATTCGTTTACTATTTGTCATTGTGATTTCTTTTTTCCACCGTTGCTTGCCCTGTAATTCAAAATCAACTAACTTGAAATTTTTTCTAAGATTTGGGATGAAGTTTGGTCGGATCTTGCTTTCTTCGCTCTCTTCTTAACCAAATCAATAAACCCAATCCTTTCATCTTTCAAAAAACTTGGGAAAAATCCCTTCTGAACCCCATTGTTTTCTGGATTTGATATCGAATTGGAGGAACGGGAATGGCAGCAGATTCAGAGTTTCATGTTCTGGCTGTTGATGACAGCATCATCGATAGAAAGCTTATTGAAAGGCTGCTTAAAACCTCTTCGTTTCAGGGTAAAGGGAAAATTTTGCTTCATCGGTTTCCAGTTTTATTGATTTGTTTTCGTTTGTTCTGAACTCTTGTTTTGATTCGATTGAACAGTTACTACGGTTGATTCTGGAAGTAAGGCTTTAGAATTTCTGGGTTTACATGAAGATGATGGAATCATCAACACAAATACTCCCTCTGTTTCTCCTAACAATCATCAGGTTGGTTTCTTCTTCTTCTTCATTTTTTTTTATCAATTTTCTCTGTTTTTTTCCCTTGGTTTGTAAAATTTCCCTTTTGTTTTAGTGGTGTTTACAGGAAGTTGAAGTGAATCTTGTCATTACAGATTACTGTATGCCCGGCATGACCGGCTATGATTTGCTCAAGAAAATCAAGGTAGCTTTGTATTTATCGTATTTGTGGATATAACAGATGATATCGGGGTCAATGCGATCATAATTTTTTTTTCTAAATGAATTGATTTTAAATAAAAATGATTTTCTAAAATTAAAATAGCGGAAAAATAGCATAATAACGATATGTTATTGATATGTTATTGTAACGATTAGCCGTTATCCGTTAAATTACGTCCATAACCCACCATTATTAATATGATTCCGCTTCACATTGTTATTTTCTACGATAACGGTTTTAGATGCCGCGGTCACTATACTATTATCCGACCACTATCTAAATCCCTCAATCAGCCTCTAAAAAGAAACAAGCTGTGCACTATTTCTGTATTAGGTTTTCAAGAATCAGTCTTGACCCTATGGCAGACTGAAATTTAATGATGAATGTAAATAGATCTCTACTAATTATAATATACAACTAATTCGAGTATTTGATCGAATCGAACCTTTTTAGCATCAAGTTGAGTAAATCGAGTTTTACTCACCCCTACAAGTTACATTAATAATGGTACATTTTAATGATAAAAGTTGCCAATATGGGGTCCAACCAATGAAAAAGCCTTTGGAACATTGGGAAAATCTGGTTCAATTTACTACCGTTTCTCTATTTGATTTAGATTAGTTTCTTGGGAGAAATTTGTCTAAAATCTCTTGAAATTTTACAGGGATATTTGATTGTGGGTTTTTGCAGGAATCTTCATCTCTAAAAAACATACCAGTAGTCATTATGTCATCTGAGAATGTACCTTCAAGGATCAGCAGGTAAAAAGACATGATCTAATGATAAGAACTATGGGTAAATTACTTATTTGTTCACCAGCGTATTATTAATTTCTATTTCGGTCACTCAACTATTATTTTTTTAAGTTGTATTTAATATTACGTCTTATTTCTATTTTGATAACCAACCTTTAAAAAAATTAAAGATAATGATGATGTGTCATCATAAGGTAATATCACGTCAGTATTGAATAATAATAAAAAATTTCACGTTGGCATAATCTTTAATATTTTATCGATGGATGACTGAATAAGTACATTATCACAGAATTATTGGTGAATATAACAATTAAGGGGACTAAGCATATTTCGCTGGTTGGTTAAGTTGTTTATCTTCGTTCCATCGTATTCCTTTAGGTCATGGACTCTAGACCCATTATGAGCAATTATTTTCCCTTTTTTAGAGTCTATCCTTCCCTCTTCTAGCTAGTATTAAAATTAGATTTATAATTTATAAAAAAAGTATGGTAAATTACTTGTTTAGTACTTAAACTATCAATTTTGACTTGTTTTAGAACTTAAACTTTTAATTTTATTTTCAAAATCATACCTAAAGTTCAGGTTTTGTTTCATTTTAGTAGTTGCCCTTAAAAACTTTAGTTTTTATTTCATTTTAGTACGTCGTTCAAAATTTAACGTTGGATTTTGAAAAAAATTAAAAGTTTAGATATTAAAACAAACAAAAACTGATAGTTTAGGTACTAAATGCGTAGTTTACCCAAAAATACAACGATAGAGGAGAATTTAATGTTGTAATTCAAAAATTATTTGTTGGCATAATTTGGTTTTTTTGTAGATGTTTAGAAGAAGGTGCAGAAGAATTTTTGTTGAAGCCGGTCAGGTTATCAGATCTAAATAAACTTAGGCCCCATATGTTGAAAACCAAAATCAAGGATCACCAAGAACCAGAGAAACAAGATAAGGAAGAAAAACAACAACAACCACAATCCAACAACAACAATAGAAAAGCAATGGAGGAAGGGATTTCAACTGAGAAAATAAGACCTAGACTCAATGGCATAACTGCAATGGTTTAGTGATGTTTGGAAAAATGTTATAAATTTTGCATCTTTTTTACTAATTGAAGATTTCCAATTTTGTTTTGCTAATTGAACTCCACCCAAAAAAGTGTAAAACAACAATATGATTTGAGATGTGGTCTTATGAATATCAAACCCAACAATGGGTATTACTTTTTTTCAATAATGCTCCAAATGGATAGTCTATTTTTTTACTTTTATTAAGAAGATTAAATATCCAAAATTATAATGAATGTTTACGATCAAACATAAATTAATTATATAATTAGGACATTTTCTATAATAGTTAACACAAAAAGTAGACACTTAAGATCACATAAGGACCATACAAGGAAGATGTTAAAATCGAATCAAAAACCTCGAACAAAAAATAGATATGAGCAGCTTTAACCGCATCATCAAACAAGATACAAAAGAAGATAAAGCTACTAAAAGACCACATACCAACCGCAAACTAGAATCGAGTGAAGTGAAAAATTATTCACGATCTTAAATTGTGTATTCAAATCTAACCATGAGAAAAAGATAAACTAAAACAACAACCAACTGGCGGTAAACGTGCCATAATGATAAAGAAAAATATGTCATAAAGGTATAAAAAAATATATCAAATCTAATCCTAAGAAAAAAAATAAACAAAACAACGACCAAATGGCTGAAAACATGTCATAACGATAAAGAAAAACATGTTATAAAGATAGAAGAAAACATGTCATAAATATATAATTATTGAAAACTAAAAAAAGAAAATTAAATATATAATATAAAAAATAAAAGAAAAATTAGAAATATATACGGCGATAACCAACACAAAGGCTGATGTAGTCGTTAATCAACAATAATGAAAAAAAAAGAGGGAAGACCCCAAGTTTTTGAGAGAAAAGTGGATAGGGTTTATTTTTATAGGATATCTACGTTGATTCTTTCTAACTTTTTTAAAAAATTTATAAATGAATTATTTAATTAATTGTTATAAATAAGTCATTAAATCATTTAAAATTATATAAATGTTAGAAAGTGTCTATAGAAAATATTTTTTAATAATTTTATCAGGTAAATTATAATCTCACGTTATTTAACTATTAATAAGATTATAAATCATTAAAAGATCATTAAAAAGTGTCTTTAGAAAATATTTTTTAATATTGTTTTATAAATGGATCAATCAATCATTAAAAGATTATAAAATCAATCATTCAATTTTAAAATTTTATAATTGAGTCATTTAGTTAATCTAAAAAGTCCAAAAAAAATATTTTTAGGTTTTAGGCTTCTCGAAGATCGGGGACTTCGTTTGACGAATTGAAGAATGCAGAGGCTATATTGGTGAGATGAAGAATATATTTGAGACGGAGGCCATTTGAGGGTGGACGGTGTAGGTTGAGGTTCAAGAAACTTAAAAGTTTTTGAGTGATTTCATTACTCTTGAGAGAGATTCTCGTAAAACTATTCCGATGAATTGAATGAGATTGAAGTGAATCTTATGGTAAAATTTGAAGTTCATTGGCCATCGTATATAACAATTGATGACTATCGATGCAGACCTAATTGTTACAATCAATTAATCGATTCCATTATTATAATCAATTAATTGACTTAATTGTAACACACTCAATGAGTCTTAATACTTTTTCTACAATAAAATGTTCTAAGTTAAAAAACTGTATAATATTTAATGGCCAATGAGTTATTTGTAACAAATCAATTAATTGATTGATTTATAGACATTATTTGTAATCAAATGACTCATTCGTAATCTTACTAATGATTCAAGGATGTATAGTGTAATTGACCATCGAAAGCAATTGTCTCAAAGTATTCTTAAACCTATGATCTTCTAGATGTTATAACAACTATATCAACTAAATATTTTTTATTAAGCTAAGGTAATTATAAAGTAGTATATGTTCTAAATACTCACAATCATTTGATAATGAACGCTCAATCACCTTACTGCAGCCGCTGGTGCTCGAACTTGTGACCTCTAAGAACAACAACGATTCCTTTAACTACATAGGTAAGCAGTGGCGAAACTTGGTGATAAAGTTTGGGGGCCAACTTAAAACTTTAAAATATTTGGAAGTTTAAATTAAAATTTTCAAAAAGTTTGAAGGGTTTAATTTATATTTTCCCCCAAAAATATTAGTGTGTAACTAAATCTTTTGAAATTTTGAAATGCTTAATAAGATTTCTTTTTAATTATGGGAGGCTATTTAATTAAGAAAATTAAAAAAAATAAAGTTTAATATGTTTTTTTTTAAAATAGGGTACCAAATTATTATTATTTTTAAATTTAAAGGGTCTAAATTATAATTTTTAAAATTTTAGGGGTCGTGACCCTCACTAGCCCTGCTTTTGTTCTGTCACTGGAAGTTGGTTCGTGCTATATCAGCTAAATGTTGAATTAAAATTCAATAGATGAATTTATAATGTAGACGTCATGAAAAATTAATATAAATTAGCTGACCCTTATTCTCATATGTAATGGGGTAAGGGAGAGGTAAGATAGTAGGTTGCCTCCAACACCAGGTTAAGAGCAGCTTCCGTGTAGACCTCCATATATGTAAAGGTTAATAACTTAACATTTATTAGGTTTTATCTATTCAAACTTTTAACTCTAATATAATTATTATGTTTAAGTAAAAAATAATTTAAAGCAATAAGATATCTATTATTTTTAAATTTGAATAGTTCAAATTATAATAAAATTGTGATTTAAGATGGGTCTAATAATTTAATATTTTGTGAAATTTATCTATTATAATAATAAATAATACATAAAAATACAATTTTGTATAGTTTAAAATGGATATAAATTTGTATTTTCGTTTTTACTCATTTTTATTTAGTTTTAATTTAATAATATTTTTTTAGGTTCAAATGTGAAATAATAAAAATATATTATTTATTGACATAAATAATATGAACTATTATGGATATCCATAAACATTGGGAGAGATAAACCATCACTTTTATTTAAAATAAACCATTTATATATATTTCATGCTTATCATTATTTATCCTTTTATATACTTTTATCATTATAATTTACCATTTACCATTTACATTTATTTTTATTTTAAATTGCAATAATATTTAATTTATTTTTAAAAAATTAACAAAAGCTTTGAATATTCAAAAATATAAAGGAAATATTAAGGTGTCGTTAATATTTATTTATATTAATGTCTGATACGATTAAAACACTATGTGTTATCACCAAAATTAAATAGAGTTTTATATGATATATACTTACGGAATTTAATAATTCTTTAAATTCCTTGATGAAAAGTCTATCAAGAGTGAAATTTCATATTCTTTATTAAATTATTTATCATATAATATTTTCTTTTTGGGTTTGATTTCAACTTTCGTTTTCAGGTGTGATTGGTCAGTAAGTTAAAAAAAAAATGTCGACCGGACCGGTAGGAAGGATTTCGGTTCAAGATATAGAGAAGGTAAGATTTTTTACCTTGTTCTTTACCATTGAAGATCAATTATCTACAGTAAATTGTATGCTTATGTGTTCATTTTGGTGTTTTCTTTTTTGCCTTTAAGAAAACTTAGGTTTCTTGCTAAATTATTACTTTATGTCGGGTTTAGTTAAGTAGAGACGACGCATAAATCTATGTTAGTAGAACGAATTTATAAAAAAACAATTAGAGGGAAAAACTAGATTGGTAATAGAAAATATGAAGAAAAAAATCGAAATATATGATAATTTAAAATTTTCAGAGACGACTGACTCCACCAACCCTTATTCGATCTATCTTAGAATGGAGTCGTGCAGTTATTATGGACGGATTGAATTTTATGGAAGTGTTATTCATTCTATATGCTCGACCAGTAGTGTCTGCGTCTGCTTTATACCATGAAGAGGAAACTTAGGGTGTATGTTGTCTAGGATGGTTAAGGCTGATTTTAGCCAGCGACGGATGCAAAGCATGGTTAGGGTGGGTACTAGAATCCGGAATTTTCTTATATTAGTTGTTTATTTTACTATTTATGTTCACTTTGAAATTTTATTTGTGCTCACCCTATATGAACAAATTCAATAACTAATATATGTGTTTTCACGTATAAAAATATTTTTGGATCCGCCACTAAATTTAGCATTACATGTGAATTCAGGTTCAAAACCTTATAGAAAGATGTCTTAAGCTCTACATGACGGAGAAGGAAGTTGAGAAAACTCTGCTAGCTCAGGCCAAAATTCTGCCTTCCTTTACTAAATTTGGTACCAAAATGTCCAAATATTTTATTACATAACGTCAATATTGTTTTTTTTTTAAATTTCTTCTTACACAAAAATTTTCATGCCTCAGTATGGGAAAAACTTGAACAAGAGAATGAAGAATTCTTCAGGGCTTATTACATGAGATTGATGGTGAAGCAACAAATAATAGAGTTCAACCAGATGCTGCAGCAACATGTGCAACTCATGCATCAAATTTATCCTACTGGAGTTTGCCCTAATAATGGACCTCACTTGTCACATGGTAAGATCTTTTTTCTTTTTTTACTAAATTTCCCAGTCTTTTATCTTTCTTGCGTTTCACTCCTTGATTTTTAGCATGTAGTCATCTATTTACAATATGGTTGTTTGCAATTGTTGGTTGTTACTGCTACTAATTATCAGGTTGTAGTAGTCAGTGGCAGAACTCGGTGATAGAGTTTGGGGTGCAACTTAAAATTTTTAAATTTTTTGAAGGGTTTAGTCTACATCTTTTCTAAAATAATTGGGGTCTAACCAAAATTTTTAAAAATTTGAGAGACTTAATGAGATCTTTCTTATGTTATGTTTTAGAAGGTGTCGTGCTTGTTTTGTATAAATAGTTAGATATTTAATAAAATTTCTTGATGTTTATCATTTGAAATTTAATGGATTCTACCCTAAACACTAGACCTTAAACACTCAACTTTTTTTCTTTTACAATTCTATTTCTTTTAATCAAAACTTGTAAATAGGGTCTAGTTTTCATATTTGTCCTAAGGTGACCAAAATCTCATAAATGGGTTTGCTAATTATCTAGCTCCCCTTAGTTTAGTTGCTGAAGCCTAAACTTGGGCTAGTCGAAGTTTTTAACATTTGTCCTACTGATTTAGCTTTCCTCTCGCAGTGCCACCGAGCTCATCCGGCTATGCCGATGGGAATAAGGGAAAAGCACCGAAAGAAGAGAACATGCAGCAAGGCATGAGGTCCAACTTGCCTAATGTATTCGGTAATAGTAGTGGTTCATCTTTGAACACTGAACACCATGCCGGCAGGTTTGATGATCCATCAGCCATGGTTTCAACTCAGAGTGCAAACATGGGTCTAATGCAAAATGGGAAAATGGATGCCCACAATTTAGAGGGATCGAGTCATGATTTTTTATAGAAAAGAATACCTCTGCAAAGGCAATGATTGTTAGTTTCATAGAGGGTATATATTTATTTAATTTTGGAATTTGCTTCGGTGGATTCTTTTGAGGATCGGGTACTTCATAAGTAAGGATGATCCTTCCAATTCAGTTTACTCCGTTTGTAATTGCCATGATTTGAACTTGTGTCTTTGCTTAAGGGATTTAGTGTCTCATTCTACTAAATTACTAGCGAGACTAGTTTTTTTCCCATTTGCTTAGATATTCAAAAAAACTCGTATTATTATTATTGTTTTTATTGGTATTATTATTATTATTATTATTGATAATGTCATTATTTTAATGATTTGCTTCACATTTAATGTTTTTTATTTTGGTTTAATATACAAATAACCTAATTTATACTTGCAATACTTTTGACGCATAAAGAAATTTTCGTTAAAATTAGGTGGTTAATGTTTTATCTATTACACTTTTAGGTGTATGATGCTGTTAAAAAGAATAGCTAAGTGACAAGTGTCACGTTTAGATTTTTAAATAATGTTTTATTTTAAAAAATAAAAAAAATATAAACGTGACATGTCATTTAATGTTTTTTAAATAGTAGACACCTAAAAATATGACGGATAAAACCAACAACTTCTATTTGTACATAATGTCTCTTTGTGCAAAGATTCGAAATGTTTCACTTGCAAGGCATGTCTTTACTTCAATGGAGGGTTATGGGATTAAACCAGCAACTTCTATTTTCAATTCCTTCATACATGCTTGCTTGTCTTCGAATGATCCGTTAACGGCATCGAGCTTGTTCGAGATAATGGAGAGTTCAGATAGCTGCGAACCGAACGACGAGACTTATGAGACCTTCATAACAGGGTTTTCGAGTTCGGGAAATGTCGATGCCACGAAAAGCTGGTATTCGGCTAAAAAGGCTTCCCGTTGTCGTGCTAAAGCTTACGAAATCAACCTATGATCTGTTGGTCGCGGGGTATCGAAGAGCCGGGCTTTCTCAGCGATTAGATCGTTTGATTAAGGATATGGAATCGGCCGGAGTTCGATAACATCCTAGTCGGAAAAAACCGATTCTTGCCTCGACGGTGCATTTACACTTGATTTAGGATTTGTGCTTCCTCGATGAACAATGCTGCATTGCGGAACATGTTTTTCGATATTGGGAGGAATTACCATATGGTGACTTTCGTTTAATTGTTTGCATCAGATATAGCACTGGAGCATTGGTTGAAGTTCAGTTGTCTTTCTTCTCAAGATGAATATCAGGGCACGAAGAACTTCATTGAACCACTCGAGTCGAAACCGTCGTAAGTATTTGCCGATACCGAGAGAAATTCGAGACATGTTATCCGTTTTCGACATCGAAACGACGATAACCTTGCTTAAATCTGTTTGTTGGGTGATTTGATTTGTTCATTTGAACTAAATATGTGAGTTATATCGACTGATCATTAACTGCATTCTACATGTTTTCAGTTTTCATGGTTGAGGTTTTGACATATATGGTTTGTAACCCCCTAGACCCGGCCTATGCGTTTTGACTAAGTCTAGTGGATCACATTATGATTATTAAAGACATTTTTCGAAACCGTTATTCCATCAATATAAAATCACATTATAAATAACATGAAATTATAAACAAATTATACTATCAAAATCTAACTCGTAAATATAGTACCAATAAATAATAATTTAATTTAAAACACGTCTTCAAATTCAATATCACAATAAACCGAGCAGTATTAGCAAAAGAGTTATCATTATAAAATCCGATATTTTAAAATAAGGTCCATGTCACCAAAATAAAGTCAACTTGCCAGATAAAAACATTACAATTTGATTTACTTCAAGAGATATGTTGATCCTCCAAGTGCTCGAACCAAGGTATCTAACCAACAGTATCTGAAAGGGGAAAACATTTTCAAAAGGTGAGCTAGGCTCAGTGTGTCCCAACATTTCCATAAAATCACCATAGGTACAAATCATAGTCCAGTAATCTCACAAATTCGTAAAAGAGTTTAACTTTTTGAAAATCATAGTTTAAACCCTTTTTCTGGTACACCATCAGTAGTTCCCAAAAGTATTTTCCATATAGCTTACTTTATGCACATAGCAAAAAGAAAGCCGACTTAAGGATAGGCTATGAAGCTTGTATCCTTAAGCCCAAGTCAATAAGTCCATATAGCTTACCCTAAGCACACAGTAAAGGAAAGCCGACCTAATGATACATCTTGGGGCCCTCAAGAGTCACATTAGGCCCAGTTAGCTTGATCAGAGCTATTCCATCGTATTTCAATTCCAAAATTCAATTGCACCGTGACATAAATTCCATAAATCCAAAAACATGGTAATCATATACCATTTCAAAACAAAAATTAGATAGCAGCCATATTCCATAAATTGTCACATTAAATTGGTGCATCCATAAAACAATAGCCATTGAATTCGGTGTACCACATATTAAAACCAATAAAACAGTTCAATAATAAGTAGGGAACACACCTCGACAATAGGTTCAAATAGCAAATTTACTGATTGCTGGTTTCACCACGCTCTGCTACAATTTTCGAACGGGTGAATACTGGCACACGTGGTTTAACTGATCTAGAAGAGCTGGGTCGAGCTTTCGTACGATCAGGAGAGTCTCTTGTACCTTCAAACAATAATATTTATCAGTCTCAAATCCTATTTAATTGTTCAAAGCTAGTCTTCTTAAGTATATAAGCATTTTTCGAGTTTGACTATCAATTTGGGGTATTTCGAGTCTGAATTTGGCCAAACGGATTGCGGAAACGAAATCAGGACGTCGAAAAATATAAAGTATGACTTTTCGGAAATTCAGATTCTTGGTCAAAGTCAAAGTCAACCACTTTGACCGTCGATTTGGAGACCTTCGGGTTTGAATTTGGCGAAACGGACTGCGGAAATGGATTTGGCATGTTGAAAACTATCAGGATAGGTATACTCGGAAAAGATTTACGGTCGTTTAAGGGTCGGTCAAAGCCATTTTAAGTTTTAGTCAAAGAAAGTCAACGGTCAACGGTCGGGTCGGGTCAACGGTCGGGTCGGGTCAACAGTCGGGTCGGGTCAACCCGGTTCAGACCAGTCAAACCGATTTAGACCGGTCAAACCGGTTCGAACCGGTTCAAAACTGGTCAAACCGGTTTTCCAGCAGCTCACTCTCCCTGCGGCGGCGCGTGCGGCGCGTGAACAGTGCCACGGTGTCGGAAAATTCTCGGAAAAATTTCTAAAAATTATTTTGAGCGATTTCGAGATACTTACAACGATCGGTTCAAATTTTTGAACGGCGGAGAGCTCGTATTTCAACTCGGCCGAATCTTTGACTGCTCCACATCCTCACGCGCCGCCGTCGATGGCAAACAAGGTTGACACCGGCGGACTCGCAACGACACAAGGAACACGATGATGCAGGAGGTGTCGTAAACGGAACAACGATCGGCGGTGAATTTAAGTTTTTCCCGGCGATAGAGCTAAAAAAAACGACGATGCTTTGACTGAAAATTCCCGACGTTTGGCAACGTTTCACTTCAATTAATTTGAAGGGTTTGTTCCTCGCTTGATGATGAACACAACGGTGGTTTCAATTTTACGATTGGACGTCGAACGGCGTCGGAATCGGACTTGGAAGTAAGGGTACGGGAGGAGAAAAACTTAAGCAATTTAACATTTGTGGTTTCTGATTTGAAACCAGAAACACGCTTAAATCACCAAAGCTACCGACACTTTTAGGATAAATTTAGGGCTTGGTCCCTGAATTTCCTTTAACTCTAAAACAAGCTCCAAGTTTTAAAATATTTCAATTTAGTCCCAAAAAATTTACCAATTTTCACAATTAACCTCCAATTTCAATTTAATATTATTCTAAATTTTTCCGGGTTGTTACAATTCTCCCCCTCTACAAGAAATTTCATCCTCGAAATTTACCTTATGAAAATAGATGAGGAAATTGAGTCTCCATTAACTCCAATGTCTCCCAAGTAGCTTCTGAGGGGCTACGATTACTCCACTAAACTTTGACCATTGGAATACGCCTATTCCGAAGAACTCGCTCATCTCTTTCTAAGATCTGAATGGGCTCCTCTTCATATGACAAATCAGGTCTCAGCTCTACTTCTTCAACCTGAATAATGTGACTTGGATCTGGATAGTATCTCCTCAACATTGATACATGAAAGACATCATGAATACGACTTAGCTCAGAAGGCAACTCAAGCTGATATGCAACAGGTCCTACCCTCTTCAAGATACGAAATGGTCCAATAAATCTTGGACTCAATTTACCCTTACGCCCAAATCTCAATACTTTCTTCCAGGGTGAAACTTTCAAAAAGACCTGATCTCCAACCTCAAATTGTATATCTTTAACTTCTCTGATCTGCATAAGACTTTTGCCTATCAAATGCCTCTTTCAAACGGTCACTTATCAATCTGACTGTGTCCTCCGTCTCTCGCACTAACTCAGGTCCCAACGTTTTCCTATCACGCAACTCAGTCCAACAGATCGGAGTGCGACATTTACGCCCATAGAGTGCTTCATAGGGTGCCATACGAATGCTGGTCTGATAACTGTTATTGTAAGCAAATTCAGCCAAAGGCAAAAATTTCTCCCAGCTACCATGAAAATCGATTACGCAACCCCGCAACATATCCTCAAGTATCTGAATCACTCTCTCAGAGTGACCATCAGTTTGTGGGTGAAAGGATGTGCTATAATCCAATCTTGTTCCCAAAGCCGTATGTATCGCCTTCCAAAATCTCGAAGTAAATCTCGGATCTCGATCAGAAATAATAGACAATGGAACACCATGCAATCTAACAATCTCTGAAATATACAATCTTGCCAGCTTGTCCAAAGTATAATTTACTCGCACAGGAATGAAGTGAGCTGACTTTGTAAGTCTGTCAACAATCACCCAAACTGAATCTTTTTTTCCGAAGGAGTCATAGGCAAGCTAGTAACAAAATCCATAGTAATACGCTCCCA